GAAAGTGGAACCCTTTGGTGTTCCTTCCAAAAAAGTGGAGCTGCCAGCAAAGAAACCTGTTCCAGCTGCTCCTGAGGAAGATGAGGATGATGACATTGACCTTTTTGGGAGTGATGATGAGGAGGAAGACCAGGAAGCAGCCAAGGTCCGGGAGGAGAGGCTGCGGCAATACGCGGAGAAGAAAGCCAAGAAACCTGGACTGGTGGCCAAGTCTTCCATCCTCCTGGATGTGAAACCTGTGAGTGCTTGGAGTTGGGAAGTTCTGGAGGAAATCTTCACATGGAATGGTGATAGGACCTGCAGAATTCCAAGCAAAGAGCTTTGGAGGGAGTTTGGGATGTTCCTGTTGGGATCTGTAGCCTTAGAGCTGTCTGATCCTCTGGAGTGGTTTGGGTTGGGATGAGCTTAATCCAGTTCCAATCCTGTGGCATGGGCAGGGACACTTCCCACCAAGCTCCATCCAACCTGGCCTGGAACACTCCCAGGGATGCAGCAGCCACAGCTGCTCTGGGAATTCCATCCCAGCCCCTCACCACCCTCACAGCCAAGAATTCCTGCCCAATATCCCATCTAAATCTCCCCTTCTCCAGGGTGAAGCCATTCCCTGTGTCCTGTCCCTCCATGCCTTGCTCCAAGTCCCTCTGCAGCTCTCCTGGAGCTCCTTGAGGCACTGGAAGGAGCTCTGAGGTCTCCCTGGAGCTTCTCTTCTCCAGGCTGGACATTCCCAGCTCTCCCAGCCTGGATCCAGGACAGAGCTGCTCCAACCCTTGGATCATCCAATCCCACCCCAATTCCATGGGCAGGGACACTTCCCACCAGCTCAGGTGGCTCCAACCCCATCCAACCTGGCCTGGAACACTCCCAGGGATGCAGCAGCCACAGCTGCTCTGGGAATTCCATCCCAGCCCCTCACCCCCCTCCCAGGAAGGAATTCCTTCCCAATATCCCATCTGTCCCTGCCCTCTGGCAGTGGGAAGCCATTGCCTGTGTCCTGTCCCTTCATCCCTTGTCCAAGTCCTTCTCCAGCTCTTCTGGAGCTCCTTTAAGCACTGGAAGAGGCTTTGAGGTCTCCCTGGAGCCTTTTCCAAGGTGAGACAAAAATTCTGGTGCAAACAGCCAGGAAAGGACAGTTTGGATCAGCTGGAACATCCCAAGAGGTGACTAACACTGATCTCCAGGAAAACACTAAACCTCTCTCACTTCCCACTTTTCCAGTGGGATGATGAGACCGACATGGCCAAGATGGAAGAGTGTGTGAGATCCATCCATATGGATGGACTGGTCTGGGGAGCATCCAAACTGGTCCCAGTAGGTTATGGCATCAAGAAACTCCAAATCCAATGCGTCGTGGAGGATGAAAAAGTGGGAACAGACATCCTGGAGGAGGAGATCACCAAGTTTGAAGACTATGTAAGTCCTCGAGGGCAACGTGGGGGGTTAAATTCCAGTGTGTTTTCCATGTTGGGAAGACCTAGAAGAACCTGGAGATGAGCTCCAACTGCTGCTTTTGTTCTCTTCCAGGTGCAGAGTGTGGACATTGCTGCTTTCAACAAGATTTAGAGGAATAACTGTATCCCCTTCCCAAAGTAACCAATAAAGATTGGGAGTGCAGATTGGAGTGTGGTTGTTTGCCCTCAGCTTTTCCAGAGGGATTTGGTGGGAGATTTGGGGGATTTTGGAGCAATCTTGGCTAGTGGGAGATGTCCCTGCCTGGAATTTGATGATCATGGAGGTCCCTTCCAAACCATAGAATCATAGACTCAACCTGGTTGGAAGAGACCTCAAAGATCGAGTCCAACAACCATTCCATGATTTCCTTACCCTTGTTCCCTCCATAAAAGGAAAGACCTTAGCACAAGGAGGACCCAAATTTTAGGGCTGGAATGAAGATCCTAAAGGTGTTTCCACTCCCTTTTCCCAAGGTGGAGACCTTAGGGAGTCTCTGCCAAAAATATTCCAGGATGAATGACCAGGAATCATCCAGGAATTGGTGGTTTGGGATGGATTTCATCCCTCTGTCCCCTTTGATTCCCTGCTCAGGTGATTTGAGCTGAGTGTGGCCTGGGAAGAGCATCCTTCTCCCCTGCCCCGTGTCCTCTCCTGTCTCCTCGTGTCCCCTCTCCCCTCCCCTTTCTCCTCTCCCCTGCCCAGTGTCCCCTCCCTGTGTCCCTTTCCCCTCCTGCCTCCCCGTGTCCCATTCTCTCTCCCCTCTCCTCTCCCCTTCCCTTTCCCGTCTCCCCTCCCCGTTTCCCCTCTTCTCTCCCCGTGTCCCTCCCCGCCCTTTCCCCCTCCCCTTTTTCGTCCCTTCTCCCCTTCCCTGTCTCGTGTCT